AACTACAGAGCTTTTTGGGGTTCGTCAATTACGTGCGTCGGTTCGTCCCCGACATGGCACGGTTAACAGCGCCGCTGACGGACTTGTTACGGAGGGGGGTCGTTTTTACGTGGGGGGAGAAAGAGCATGCTGCCTTCTCTGCCCTGAAAAATGTTCTATGTTCACCGCCCGTCCTGCGCATCGCCGACCCACACCGCCCATTCGAAGTAGTCACCGACGCAAGCGACATCGCCATCGGAGCCGTACTGCTACAGGACTTCGGCAACGGCCTACAGCCCATCGCATACGAATCACGAAAACTGCATCCGCCCGATAAAAATTACCCGATACACGACCGCAAAATGCTTGCGATCGTGCACGCGTTCAAAGTGTGGCGCTGTTACTTGACCGGTGCAGACGTGACAGTACGGACAGACCATAGATCACTACAGTACCTCCGCGCACAGCCACACCTCAACCCACGACAGATTCGCTGGCTCGATTATCTCGAGTCCAATTTTCACTACACGGTCACCTACAAAAAGGGAGCCTCGAACATCGCCGACGCACTGACCCGCCCCACTGCCCAGATCCATGCAATACTACTCGCCCAGACCAGCCCCCTACTGACAGGCCTATTTACCCACGGGTACCAAACGGATCCATTCTTCACAGGAGGAAATTCGCAACAGTTCGCAGCAGCAAGGGGAGTCTATTACGTAAAAGCCGGGACCGACCGCATCTGGGTGCCTGGGTATACACTGGTACGGGAATTACTGTTACAGGAGGCACACGACGGAGTTACCTCGGGGCATTTCGGGGTAGAGAAAACACGGCAGCAGCTGCAGCGGTATTATTACTGGCCCGAGATGTTAACCGACGTACAACGACACGTGGCATCGTGTCCCACTTGCCAGCTCATGAAATCATCACGGCAGCGGCCGGCAGGACAGTTGCAGCCGATACCACCCCCAGAGTGTGCTTGGCAGTAGGTGACGATGGACTTCGTCACGAGGTTACCGACTGGGGCGAGTGGGAACGACGCGATCCTGGTCGTCGTCGATCGCCTGACGAAAATGGCACACTTCGCAGCCTGCAAAAAAACGATCACAGCCGAAGAAACAGCTCGACTCTTCATCTCCACCGTCGTTCGACTGCACGGGATACCATCAGCGATCATCAGCGACCGTGACACGAAATTCACCAGCAACTTCTGGCGGAACCTGTGGCACTAGTTCGGCACGCGACTACAGTTCAGTTCTTCATACCACCCTGAAACCGACGGACAGACAGAACGGACAAACTGGACTATGAAGCAACTCATCCGAGCCACATGCGACGACCCAACCACCTGGGAACAACAGCTGCCACTCATTGAGTTCGCATACAACAACTCACCATCCGCCACGACCCAACAGTCACCGTTTTACCTGAACTACGGACAAGACCCGACAGTACCCATGACCCCGAATCGTGACAACCCGGTGCCACGAGCACAACAGTTCGCCAAAATTTTACAAGCAGCACGGACCCGGGCAGCAGACGCAATAAAAAAATCGAACATCATCGCTAAACGTAACGCCGACCGCCACCGCCGACCTGTCACTTACCAACATGACGACCTAGTTTTACTCGACACTCAGAACCTCCGCCTGCCTATCACCCCAAAACTCCGCCCCCGATATTGCGGGCCATTTCGCATAAGCCACATGATTACGCCCGTCACCGCCCACCTCCTCCTCCCCGCTGACTGGTACGTCAGCCCCTCATTCCACGTCAGCCTGCTTCGCCCTTACGTCCCGTCCACAAGCCAACTGCCGCGTAACCGCCCGGCCAGCATGACACGACTGCCGACTAAACCAATCATCACACCCGAGAAAATTATGAGCCACAGAGTTCGCGACCCTCGAGGAGCCCGAAGGATCGAGTTCCTGATCCGCTGGAAAGACCGTACACCCACCGAAGACAACTGGGTTCCCCTGGACAGAGTCGAAAATCACCCCGTCCTCACATAGTATCTGCGCAGCCGAAACTTCAGGGATGTACACGCACTTTCGTAAGGAGGACCTCCTTAGGGGGGGGGTAGTGTAAGGAAAATTCCTTTTCCTTACTTCGCGTCCCCGCTCAGCGCGTACACCACTGTAGCACTACAGTCAGCACCGTTACCACTCGCAAACCCTTGCATCGACAATCTGTGAAGAAATGAGGAATGAATGAACTAGCAAGCAGGTGGGTACAAGTAGGAAAACCTAAAAGTGTTGTACCCCATATGGTCTACCCCACTACAGCCTACACAGACTATAGCATATGAGTTTGACACAATCCTCCCGCCACCTTCGCACGTCGCACCCCGACCTCACGGCTCGGTGGGTAGCCCGCGCTCCGGGCCTCTGCTTCGACATTTTCCCAAACCTCAGTCCCAGGCCCGTCGCACGACAACCACAGTTCATTACCGTTACCACTGTAGTTTCGCTATATATTCTTCGCTCATGCCTTCGCTCATGCCTTCGCTCATTGTACTCTTGCTTCGATAGTGCAATTCTCGCTCGATCACTCAATTGCACTCGTAACACCTATACACCTTATGAGAGGCTTGGCGTGCTACCCAAAGGTTCAAATGTCGACATTCGACCATGGTTCTTGTCACAATGATTTAATCTAAAAAATATTTTGGTGGTTCCAGCCTCGATAATAACGAATGTCGATAACAGTTCGGCATATTTTAAAGAAAATTGGGACTAAAAAATTGCGACTAATATAAACAGTTTTCAAAAATCACACGCACGGGTTTTGACATGTATTAATGATCGAGAATTGAGTGTACTTCCCACTTTCTATTTCTCACCTTTCATCCCTCTTCCCGTCTTCTCCATTCTAGGTTGCTGCTGAAGGACAGTTGACCGCACTGTCATATTCAGCAACACTTTCCTGGTCCCAACTGCTAACACACGCGATTATCTTGCACATACTGTAGTCTAGCTCGAAATACCGCATTCGTCAGCAGTTGTCTGCCAGGTCACATGCCTTGACCTTCAGTGCACTTGAATCAAATGTGCAAGCTCGGTGCCGTGCCGATGGAGCTGGCAGCTGCAGCGAATCGCTTCATCTTGGTCCTAGTCTCACAGTCCATTTGCAACAAACCGTTCGGACAGTTATCATGGCTGGCAGGTCACCTCGTGCCTCGTGTCACACGACGGTGGCTCGTCCCTAACCATACACCACATGACCCGCCGAGTTGACGGGCGATTTCAACGTACAGTACGTGACGTACTGAACTATTTAGGTTGTCACCTCATATTGGCGGGTTTTTATTGCGGGGGTGCCGGTGAGCAGGCTACAACTGCAAGCCATGATGACTCCATTAATTTCTTCTGCCCGCTGCTCGGTCCCACTTGGCCCACACTTCACCGCCTCCCCGCTCGCCCGCCTTCCATGCTCCTTCCTCATTTCCAGTCCCTCGCCTGCGAGAAGCGGCATCCCTCGGCTCCCGCAAAGCCGGCGGAACCCTGTGGGCAGAGGCAGCAATACAGTATCATCTTGTACGTGTAGTGAGAGGCTTAGGAGGCAGGACACCTGCCCACTGGGCACAATCACGGTCAAGCCTGCCCTTGTGCACCGTTGCTGCTCGATGCCATCGAGTGGAAGGTCACCCGTGGAATCGAAGGACGCATGTTCGAACCAAGATCATGGAAATAGCAAAATTGCCCTGGCTCACCGCATTTCGACAAGATTGTCGGCAAGCTACCTAATCTCTGAGTGTTGCAAGTTAACTGAGCCGCTCAGAAAGCAGTACCGGCGCTTTCAATCGTTGATACTAGTACCGCCGCCGCAGCGTACCGCATGATGCCTCCGCATTCCGAGTCTTCTAAAGCCATTCAAGTTCACTCGCCCGGGCCGGCCTCCCAATCCTCGCCGCTCAGCATGCAGCCATGGTCGCGAGAGGTGCGAGATGACGCGAGAGGTGCGAGATGACGCGAGAGGTGCGAGATGACGCGAGAGGTGCGAGATGACGTGAGAGGTGCGAGATGACGCGAGAGGTGCGAGATGACGCGAGAGGTGCGAGATGACGTGAGGTGCGAGATGACGCGAGAGGTGCGAGATGACGCGAGAGGTGCGAGATGACGTGAGAGGTGCGAGATGACGCGAGAGGTGCGAGATGACGCGAGAGGTGCGAGATGACGTGAGAGGTGCGAGATGACGCGAGGGGTGCGAGATGACGCGAGAGGTGCGAGATGACGCGAGGTGCGAGATGACGCGAGAGGTGCGAGATGACGCGAGAGGTGCGAGATGACGTGAGAGGTGCGAGATGACGCGAGAGGTGCGAGATGACGTGAGAGGTGCGAGATGACGCGAGAGGTGCGAGATGACGCGAGGTGCGAGATGACGCGAGAGGTGCGAGATGACGTGAGAGGTGCGAGATGACGCGAGAGGTGCGAGATGACGCGGCGAGAGGTGCGAGATGACGCGAGAGGTGCGAGATGACGTGAGAGGTGCAAGATGACGAGAGGTGCGAGATGACGCGAGAGGTGCGAGATGACGTGAGAGGTGCGAGATGACGCGAGAGGTGCGAGATGACGCGAGGTGCGAGATGACGCGAGAGGTGCGAGATGACGCGAGAGGTGCGAGATGACGTGAGAGGTGCGAGATGACGCGAGAGGTGCGAGATGACGCGAGGTGCAAGATGACGCGAGAGGTGCGAGATGACGTGAGAGGTGCGAGATGACGCGAGAGGTGCGAGATGACGTGAGAGGTGCAAGATGACGAGAGGTGCGAGATGACGCGAGAGGTGCGAGATGACGCGAGAGGTGCGAGATGACGCGAGAGGTGCGAGATGACGCGAGAGGTGCGAGATGACGTGAGCCGCGAGAGGTGTGTCCCGAGGATGATATTTTTCTCAAGATACGCCGGATTTTTCAGGATTTAATTTTGCAAGTCCTTCTTCATGGGATTCCACTACCCATGTGCGTCAGGACACGTTCAGTGTGCCGTTAGCCTTTCACGCTAACGCTCTTTCACGCTCAATGCTCACGACAAGAATGCCGCATTTCACGCTGGTACTACCCCCCGCACTGAGTGGGCAGGAGGACGCGGTGCTGCTGCGCCACGCACTGCAGTGCGGCACCAAGCTGTGGGGCGAGCTGGGGAGGAGCGGGCAGCTCAAGAGGAGCAACAAGTCGTGCTGTAACCGCTACATCTTCCTCCGAAGGTAACCTCCACCCCAGCCCTGCCACACCACATGCATTTCGGTGACCCTCGCCGCGTGTTCAATAGCACACACCTCTCTCCCATCGCTTGCGAAAATGGCCTGTGTGGTGATGGCAGGAAGTTCAGTGACCACTTTCGCCAGCACTTCCTCCAAGAGCACCTCCAAGCCATTGGACGCCCCCACCACTTTTCGTTTCACCGAGACTGTCAGCCGCTGCTCTGCCAGGATTTCAGTCAGCAGCAGCAGCAGCAGCAGCAGCAGCAGCGTTTGGAGGGCGAGGGTGCAGGTGCAGTGACGTTGGGAGGGCTGTCGTTGGACGAGTGCATGATGGTGTTCTTCGCCCCCAATGCACGCCGCCCACCAGCCCCAACCAACCTCTTATCTCTCGCTACCCCTCCTGCTTCCCACGCTCCTCCTCCTGCTCTCCCCGCTCCCCCCGCTCCTCCTCCTGCTCCCCCCGCTCCTCCTCCTGCTCCCCCCGCTCCTCCTCCTGCTCCCCCCGCCCCTCCTCCTGCTCCCCACGCCCCTCCTCCCACTTCTCGCACCGCGGCCTTCTCTGCTGAGCCTGCTTGTATCACCAACTTCCCGTTCCCCCATGATGCCTTCCCGGTCGCAGCGGCCTCCGACGCCGCTGGTCTGCGTAGTCCCTTGAAGCGACCACGTAGCGAGTGCCCAGGGGTGGGGGTAGACCAGCCGCTGCTGGATGCACGTGAGAACGGGTTGCTGCGAGACGGGTTTCTGCGAGGCGGGTTTCAGCGAGGCGGGGAGGTGTGTAGCATGGAGCGCTACGGTCAGTCAGTGGCGGAGCAGTTCCAGCAGCACGGGGAGAGCAGCTGCATGCAGGCAGCTGAAAACGCCCTTCTGGATGCCCTGCTGCTAGGGGAGGACCAGCAGCAGCAGCAGCAGCAGCAGCAGCAGGGAGGAAGGAGGAACAGGGCGCAGCGGGTGTTGTGGCCGCGCATTGGGTCGGAGAGTGCTCTTCCAGACGACGTGCTGCTGGGATGCACCAGCGAGGGCCCTGCTGTCATGCACCGTGCTGCTCTCTCTGCTCCTCCGCCCACCCAGCCACGCTCAGAGCTGCCACCGCCGATGTCCCCCCAAGTCGCTGCTCCGCCTGGCTGCGCTCCCTGCATTGGCGATTTCAATCCCTGCTGTGGGAATTTCGCTTACTGCATTGGGGATTTCAGGGACATGAGCAGCTGCAATGCAGAACCACTCGCGTGGAAGAGTTGTGGCACTCAGGAGCAGGAAGCTGTGGATGCGTAGATTGACATGCTCGACTCCGGAGTCAGCAACGCCAACAGCAACGACAACCATGCTCTCTTTCTTGACATTGACCCGCCCATGGCTCACCTGTTGCTGGGTGGGCGTGCCCTCACCGTGCCCTTTACCAGTGGGCCTCAGCAGCAGGTGCTGGCAGCATCTGGTGCTGCTGGGGCAGCCCTGCCCGAGTGGATGGTGGAGCAGGGAGGGATCGGGGAGGCAGGCGCTCAGCCACACAGGCAGCAGCAGCAGTAGCAGGAGCAGTGGAAGTCTGGTCAGCATCTAGAGCTTGAGCACGGTCTCTTGCTGCCACTGCACCAGCCACAGCTGCAGTTGCAGCCACTGCCACAGCCTCTCCCACAACCACTGCCACAAACTCCTTTGCTGTCAGCCCCTTCTCACCATCCACTCCCACATGGCGTCACTGGTGCACTGAACACGCCCTCAAACCCAAGGGGCTCGCACATGCAAGCTTCCGTGCAGGCACACCGTGACATGCAGCAGCAGGCCGTCTCCCTGGCAGCTGCTGCTCTACCAGCTCTCTGCCAATCCCATGCTGCCGCCGTGGCCCGACGCGATCTTTAATCTAAGCATTGATGCTGCTGCTCCGCATGCCACAGTCGGTCACCGGCTCAGGTTGGATGGGCGTGACTCAACTAATACGTTGAAGGAAAAAAAATCGACCTTGATGCGAATTGGGTCGGGGTTGTGATTGACCATAAGAACGCTGTTAGTGAACCCCTTAACCTTCCGCATACGGCGGATCTTCTGTGAGATGCCTTCAGGCTCCATCTCACATACTGTATCTTTAACATATACTTCTATATACTACTTATAGTACAGGTATCCTTCTAACTGCGATTTGACTGCACAGAGCTCCACAAACGGCATCATGTCGTGCAAAGTACATTCCCTACCTTCTTAGTATAATATAAATATAATTTATCAACATTTGTTTTTCCACCTCACCTCCCTTGATAGTTGCTGTCAAGCAGCCCCTACGATATCAAGAAAATTTCCCTGAAATTCCTGATTTCCAGCCTAGTTTTGTGTACCTACACTGATCTTTCAGTGTTGAGATTTTTGTGACACTGATTTTTCAGCCTTTATTTCATAGCTAACACTGATTTTTCAGTCTTTTATCGAAGTGTACACTGAATGCACATTCCGAATCCTTCCCGTCAAACACCCGAGAGATTTAGTGAACCAACATCTTCACATTGTCACTATAAGATCCAGTAAGACACAAATCAACCCGAATGGTAAGGTTCCCAGTTCGAATCTCCCGGTTGACGTGTTTCGTAGAGACTCCTCTCATATACCTGTCAAATTATATATATGCTATATATGTTTAGGCTGTAGTGGGGTAGCCAGTATGGAGCACAGCCCCTTTAGGGTTTCATACCTGTACCAAACTCTTTCCTTGTCCAATCATCCCTGCTAGTTGTTTCTGACATGGTATTCAGAGCAGTAGGTCCTTAGGACCGTTTTTTTTCGGGCCCACCTGTCAAACATTATATATGTTGTGCTTGTTTAGGCTACAGTGGGTTAGTCTATAGGGGGTACACAATTCTAGGGTTAGGTACTTGTACTCATTTCACTGTTAGTTCCAACCCTGAGCACAAGTTCAAGGCCACAAGGCCAGTTCACATGTAGGAGTACATATATATATAAGGCTAGACAAGCAAGAGCAGGTACATATATATGTAACAGTACAACCAAGGTCAAGAGGTGAGCAAGTGAGGCAAGACAGGCACAAGACCCAGCTGGGTACAGAAGCGCTGATGATCACAAGGCGCAAGTGCCTTGGTGAAGACATCAGCAGTGTTGGCCTCAGAGGCCACGTACGTAAGCCGCAACTGACCACGCTGCTGTAGCTCACGAGCAAGGAAGTAGCGGAGAGCAATGTGCTTTGTTCTGTGCTCCAGTCTCTGCTCTCGACACAAGGCCAGCATGGCCTTGTTGTCTACGTACAGGACTGGAGGAGAACGAGGCGGCTCTCCAAGGTCAGTCAGCAGGTAGGTAAGCCAGCGAAGCTCCTGAGCAGCCATGGCCCCTGCGTAGATCTCAGCCTCACAACTGGAGCCGAGAACAGAAGACGAGCGAGTAGCCCGCCACGAAACAGAGCCGGAACCAAGGCTGAAGGTGTAACCCTGTGACGACCGCTGCGTAGCCTGGTTGTCAGCCCAAGAAGCAGCGCTGTGTGGCGTGCGGTCCCCCACACGGCTGACCAGTGCGGTCACCAGTGCGAATGACGTACGTGCAGCTAAAGCCACCCCCCCCCCCGTGCTGAGAGTACCACTCACGGACCTCCTGGGGCGACGGAGTGTGCTGCTGGCCCTGGCCACCGCCAGCGCCTCCACGACCACCACCGCCGCTGCCACCTCCTCGACCACCCCAACCCCTGCCGCCGCCGCGTCCACTGCCACCCCCACCACCGCCTCCGCCCCTGCCACCTCCCCCGCCGCTGCCGCCACCACCCCCACCGCTGCCACTAGCCCCTCCAGTCGCGCCACCACCCCCACCACCGCCACCGCCCCCACCACCGCCTCCCCTGCTGTCACCGCCACCGCCCTTGCCCCCTTTGCCCTTGCCGCTGCGGCGCCCGCTCAAAGCAGACGCAGTCACGACCTTCTCAGCACCAAGGAGGTCGACAGCAGCAGCAGAGGCGACAGAGGGAAGAAGGGGGGAAGGAGAACACCCCTCAAAGAACGGGGTACGGGGGTCGCCACGAGAGGCACCTACAGCAACTATGCTAGCCTCAGCTGCAAGGAGTTCCTTCTCGAGGAGGGCAATGGTGAGCTCAGTGGGGCAGCGAGCTAGGAAGTGGTCCCTGACTGAGCGCAGAGTGTCAGGGAGGCGGGTGAATAGGTGGTAGAGAGTGAGCCAGAGCGGGGGTGGGCTCTTGGCAAGGAACTCATCAGGCATGGCGGCGCGGAAGCGAGCTTCACTAGTGCGGAGGTGCGTAATGAGGTCAGCGACTGTGTGGAAAGAGGCTAAGTCGGGGAACAGGTAGGGAAGAGAGAGACGGCCTAGTGCGGCAGAGGCCGGTGAGGAGTAGCGGGCAACGACAGCAGTGTACAGTGCCTGTGCAGTCTTGTGCTGCCCAAAGTGCTCGCGCTCATCTATCGGCAGGGAGTTGCGAATAGCGAAGCGAGCGTGGGCGTCACGAGTCTGCCACTGTGAGCGGGCAGTGCTGTCAGCAGTAGCAGCAGGAGCAGTAGCATGGCCTAGGGCGTGATCGTACAGTGAGATGTCCTCCTTGGCAGTGAGCTGTAGGAAGAGGTGTAGGTCATCTAGCCAGGTTTCGAACCTCACTGGGCGGCCCTCAGTATCGAAAGCTAGCACAGGAGGGCTAGCCATAGCAGTAGTAGGAGTAGCAGTAGAGTAGCAGTAATAGCAGTAGGTGCACCCCAGAAACAGTAGGCAGTGCGACTCAGGTAGGGCGGCTCCGTCCAGTACGGGCGGCGCGGCTCGGTTCAGGTAGGGCGGCGCGGCTCGGTTCGGGCGGCGCGGCTCGGTTCAGGCTGGGCGGCTCGGTTCGGGCGGCTCGGTTCGGGCTGGGCGGCTCGGTTCGGGCTGGGCGGCTCGGTTCGGGCTGGGCGGCTCGGTTCGTGCGGCTCGTTCTGGCGGGGCCGTTCAGGGCCTCTAGGGGCGAGCGCGGGGCCGTAAGGGGCCGCTAAAGGCGAGCGCGGGGCCGTTCGGGGGCGCGGCTCGGTTCGGGCTGGGCGGCTCGGTTCAGAGCGGTCTCGGGTTCGAATCCCAATGTGTACACTTCGGGCATCCCAGTGCGGGGGGGTGTCAGAGGTCCACTGGTGATCCCCGATTGATCCTAGGGAAGGGTTACAGGCTCGTTGTCCTGGGGGGGTTATGGGCGCACTGACCCGCTACTTAACAAGCCCTTTTATCCCAATGGTCTAGTGGTTGGGATTCTGACATGGTATAGAGCAGGTCCTTCAGGATACTGTGGACCTCTGACACCACCTACCTTTGCGGATACTGAGCTACCCCACGACTTGACTACGCTGCGCTGCCCGCGCGCGCCCTGCTTTGCCTGCGCTGCGCTGCCCGCGCGCGCCCTGCCTTGCCTGCGCTGCGCTGCCCTAGTCCCGTGCGCCGCCCTGCATTCCTTGCGTCGAGGGGCGGCAGCGCGCCGCTCAGGCCCTCAGATTGGTTTAAGGGCATGCTGATGGATCAGCGTGCCCTGCCCAAAGTAGTGACCAAATCAGCGTTGCGGGTGAAGTTTATGCTGATTTTGTCAGGGTAAAATTTCATGGTTAACTGATTTATTAGTGTAGGAATTAAGCTTGAACTTCGTAATCAGTATTTTTAACGTAGCTGTCTGAGGCTTCGTCCTGTTGTTAGAGAGGTCACGGGTTCAAGTCTCGTGAGTGAGAGGTTTACTAGAGCGTGGTGGTGATTTACGGCCTAATCCCACGTCCGCGCACCCCATGTCTTGTACCCTATGCATTTTTGTAAGTCCGAATCAGTGTGACTCAGTACACTATACTGATGGTTCAGTGTCACAGGTACACCTATACACTAATTCGTCAGGGTAGTCCTATACTTCAAACTGGAAAATCAGTGGAAATATAAAGAAGATACTGAAATTTCAGGGAAAACGAAAATCACAGCTACAAAATCAGCCTAATCAGCGTGTTTTACGCTGATATCTGAGGGCCTGGCGCCGCTCCTCACTCCTCCTCGTTCCCTCCCACAGAGGCTCCACTGCAGACTCTCCACCTGGACGTGTGGGGCCCAGCCCGCGTCCGTGGACAGGGCCACGAGCGGTACTTCCTGCTGGTAGTCGACGACTACACGCGTTAGACCACGGTCTTCCCCTTGCAGCGCAAGGGGGATGTCCATGCTGTTTTGATCCCTTGGATCCGCGCTGTTCGTCACCAGCTCCGCGAGCGGTTCGAGTCGGACTTTCCTGTCCTACGTCTGCACTCTAACAGAGGTGGTGAGTTCTCCTCTGACCTCTTGCGAGCCTACTGTGAGGAGCACGGCATCCGCCAGACGTTCACGCTACTGGCCTCTCCGCAGCAGAATGGGGTTGCTGAACGGCGCATTGGCTTAGTCATGGAGGTCGCTCGTACCTCCATGATCCTGGTAGGCACCGAAAGGTGCACATGGATGCTGCTAAGAGGGTACTGCGCTACTTGTGCAGTACATCGGGCATGGGGCTCGTGCTTGGAGGACGGGGCGACGTTGTCCTCACTGGGCACTCGGACGCTTCTTGGGTTGACGACCAG